CCAGATGGATCTCTAGCTCTATACCTGAGGCCGCATGGGGTGGTCCGCTTGCTCAGCTCAGCTCCGCCGCGTATCACGTGAACAATTTGTTATCTCCTGTACTCTTTCAGGAAGCGCTTGCACATATTCCGGAGAACGCGATAACGATCGAGATTGCGCCGCATTGTTTACTGCAGGCAATCTTGCGCAGATCGTTGCCACCAACTGTGACCAATATCGGCCTGCAAAAGCGAAAACATTCGGACAATCTCACTTTTCTACTGTCTAACGTGGGCAAACTGTACATGGCCGGTGCACAACCTGACATTTCTAAATTGTATCCGTCGGCGAGCTTCCCCGTCGGTCGCGGGACACCGATGATCGGGTCTCTCGTCAGGTGGGATCACTCTGCCGCGTGGGATGTGGCTGATTTCCAACAAGTATCAGAACGTTCGGAAGAGTGTAACGTCCAGATAGATCTGTCGAAAGAAATGGACGCGTATCTAGCAGGGCACCGGATAGACGGACAAATTCTTTTTCCAGCCACTGCTTATTTGCTGCTGGTATGGAAAACTTTGGCGAAATTGCGTGGCGTTGACTTCGAACGATTGCCTGTGGTGTTCGAGAATGTGCAGTTGCAGCGGGCGACCATTATGCCGAAGGAAGGAGCGGTGAAGTTCTCGATAACCATCTTCAAGGGAACGGGAGACTTTGAGACCGGTACGATCACCGTCAGCGGAAATATACGTGTCTCCGAGAGTATCGAGAAAGATCAGATGAAGCTGCCGCCGCCGCCGACACCTCCTACCAGTAAGGAGATTTTACCGTTGAACACCAATGACATTTACAAGGAACTAAGGTTGCGCGGATACGTGTATCGCGATGTCTTCCGAGGAATCAAATCCTGCGATAACTACGGCATCGCCGGCGAGCTTTACTGGTTTAATCAATGGGCACCATACATAAACAGCATGCTTCAGTTAACTGTCGTGTCTACCATCCATAAGCTAATGTATATACCGTCGCGCCTTGAGTATGTCGCAATCGATCCTGTTCTTCATAAACGACTGGTGGAAAAATTACCAGAGAACGGTGCATTGCCGGTGTATCACTACAAGAACATCAATATCGTTAAATCGGGTGGTATCGAAGTCAGAGGAACGAAATTTTTGTTGCCGTCTCGGCGACAGCGCACACAAGCTGATCCTAAATACGAGCAGTACACTTTCGTGCCCAATGAATATTCGCACGGTCTATTAAAGGACGCAACGAGAGGAAGAGTGCACGCACTCGCCGTACTCTTGCAGATCATGTGCGAAAACGTGAAGACAGTGAGATTAACGTTCGTGGAAATTGCAGGCCAACGAGCTGCAGAAGCTCTATTGGCGCCGCTTATTATCGAAAGTGTCAATAACGAACAAGAATTTATTGTAAGTATATCGTAGAATAAGTTGTTTTTTGCTCAAGATGAAATATTTCCTCACTCAAACTTCACGGTATCGTGTTTGCAGAGTAACGACAAACCCAGAAATTACAACTTTTTGATTGACAGACAACCCCAACACTGAATTGTCCATCCAGCATTCCATTGTAATAAATTATATTGTCGCAATGTTAAATAGAACCTATACAAATAAGTAATGCGTTTAAACAAAGCAATCTGTGCCATTTGAAACAAAATATTATTTTTAATTTTAGTAAATCGACAGTCATAATTTAATCCCTTATTTTCCAAGGCGTTTCTATTGACGCAAGAGCTTGGATAGTAGAGTAAATAATAATGAGGCTTGGGTGAAAATGCAATGGTTTAATCTAACCAAGTGAATAGTGGCTCTGCTGAGCTACTAACAAGAACTAATCGATATCGATAAAGGAGACGGAAGTCAGTGGCGTGCTTCCCCCACTCACACTCGAACATCTCGCTTCACTCAACTGCCAATCAGACCAATCCCGATACAGAAAACATGAGAAGCCAATCAAAAGCTTAGTTTAACATTCCCGCCGCTTAACATGTTTTAACTTCTTCATTAATTATGATCACATTTAACAAGATTGATTTTGTCACACATCTTTGCAAAATAATCTTTGGTCAACGCTTTTGTACAGATATCGGCGCTTTGTTGACCAGTCGTTACAAACTTCACACGAATCACTCCTTCCTCAACTTTCTCACGAGTAAAATGATAACGCACGTCGATATGTTTAGTGCGCTTATGAAAAACAGGATTCTTTAGCAGACAAATCGTGGACTGGTTGTCAATCATCAAGGTCGTTGCATGGTTACAGGGGCATTTCAGATCACTCAAAATCATTCGAAGCCAGGTGGCTTCCTTCGCTTCTGCCGCTGCAGCCATATACTCAGCCTCGGTCGTACTTAAAGCTACGCTCTTTTGGCGGGTCGAAGACCAAGTGACAGGAGCATTGGTGAATTCGAATATATACCCGGTCGTGGATCGTCTGGTTTCCAGATCTCCGGCAAAATCGGCGTCACAATACCCGATCAAATGCGAATTATTCCCGCCGTTTCGATACTCGATTCCCACATTCATCGTGCCAACAAGGTACTTCAAAATACGTTTCACTGCATTCCAATGAATCTCGCCGTGTTTGTTGATGAAACGACTGACGAGATTGACCGCGAATGCAAGATCTGGACGCGAAACAACAGTTAGAAACATCAAAGACCCCACGGCCTCCCTGTATGGGGCATTCACCAATGCTTCTGCCTCGTCAGCTATCGGTGACAATCTACAATGCGGATCAGCTGGTACACATACAGGATGAGCCTCACTCATTCGAAACCGGTCAATGACATTTTTCGCATATGCTCTCTGATGAATTCGCATGGTCTTATTGTCTCTATCTCTTTCAATCTGAATCCCGACAAAATTTGACGCGTCACTTCGTGTTATATCAAACGAATCACTAATGACTTTTAATACACTTTCAAGAATTTCGCGCGATTCGGCTGCAATCAGCCCGTCATCAACAAATAACGCCAGAAATACATCTACGCCATTTATATTAGCACTTAACAAGCATTTATCAGCGGCGCTGCACACAAAACCGCACTCTTTTCTCAAGAAGCTCGAGAACTTGTCGTTCCAGCATCGAGCGGCTTGTTTGACGCCATATAGCGACTTGTGCAACTTGCACATAAATGCACTTGTATCTCCACTCACGCACACTCCATCGGGTACCTTAAGAAACAATTCTTCTTTCAGCTCGCCATGAAGAAATGCTGTCTTGATGTCAAACTGCGCCATCTCAAGATTCTTTTAGCACACCATAGCCAAAAATACTCTCAACGTGTCGTATCGCACCACCGGTGCAAAAATCTCGTTATAGTCGTCCCCCGCTGTCTGCTCAAATCCTCGAGCGACCAGGCGTGCCTTGTGTCTTGTGACTTCTCCGTTCTCGTTTCGTTGGACCTTGAACACCCATTTGGACGAAATCAACTTCTTATCCGATTCTCTCTTGACGACTGACCATGTGCCACACCTCTCATGCGCAGCAAGTTCTTCGGCAATTGCCAGCAACCAGTCAGCTGCTTGTGGCCCGCTAACTGCCTCCTTGTATGTTGTCGGTGTCAACTCGGAGAAATTCGCCTGGTATCTCGCTGGAGGGCGAATGTTGCTGCGGTCTCTCAGCTGTCGTCGACTCTCCGCTGCTTCCCCAACTGCTTGCTCCATGACTGCTGGTGGCTGCATTGGCTCGTGCACCTCTCTCTCTACCTCTTGCTCAAGCTCAATTGGATCTTCTTGTTCTGCACTCTCGTCTGTGAAGGCCAACAGCTTTTTGTCGCCGTCGTCAAACACAGGATCTTCAATTGTGTGAGCCTCGTCGAACGTCACGTGCCGAGAGACTGTTACAGTCCCCTTCTCTTTGTCAAACAATCGGTAGTTGGAGGAGTCTTGCTGGTATCCAACGAACATGAGACGCTTTGCCTTCGCGTCGAGTTTACGCCTATGCACATCTGGAATATGAGCATAGCTCACGGATCCAAAAACACGAAGATGTGATAAATCCGGCTTCCTTTTGTACCAGAGTTCGTAGGGAGTCACTCTTGGATTTCTGCTTGGCGCTGTGCGATTCACCACATAAACCGCCGTGTTGATTGCCTCGGCCCAGAGCTTCTTTGGAAGATTCTTGGCTTGCAACATTGACCTAGCACTTTCCGTGATCGTGCGATTTTCGCGCTCAGATTTTCCATTCTGCTCGGGTGTAAAAGGGGCCGAATTCTCCATCTTGATTCCCCGTGCCTTCATGTAGTCTCTCATCGCTTGGTTCACGTACCCAGTGAGAAATGTTTCGTCGATCGACGTCGAAATGATGTCGAATCGACGTCAATTCGACGGTGTTGATGTCGATTCGACGTCGTTTCGACGTCGATCGACAAATCATTTCTCACTGGGGTACTCTCTCCCATTGTCACAAAACAGACCTTTCATCGTTCTCCCAAACTTGTTCGCGATGAAGCGTTCAAATTCCTTGAAGTGCTCAACCACATCACTCTTGTGACGCATGAAGAAAACGAATCGATAGCCGGATGCTTCATCGATGAATGACAAAAAATACCTCGCACCGTTGATGGACTCTTCTGACATCGGGCCGCACACATCCGAGTGGAAATACTCTCCCACGGAGTACTCCGATCTGTCACTCTCGTTCTTGAAAGGAAGTTTGTGTGACTTTCCTTCTTCACAGGCACCGCAAGTGAATGTTTCGACATTGCTCAACTTTACCCCTTCAACTGCTCCGTTCTTCACCATCTCGCGAAGCACATGGCAGTTGACGTGTCCGAGTCTCTCGTGCAGCTGCATGAGACTTGTGGTTGCGACGTTCACTTGCAATTTCGTGTCCTCTTGTTTGACGCGAAAGAACATACGGTAGATGTTGTTGTCCAGCTTCAATCCCTCCGCAAACACATGGACATGACCGTCCTTCATCAGCGCGACACCATGAGCTGAGAACGCCGCTATGTAGCCGCCGATAGTTGTAGCGACACCGATCGAGAACAAGTTCTTTCGAAAACTTGGCACGTAAAGGACATTATTGAGTGTCGCTGGCTCCCATTTATCGCCCACACGCTTCTCAATGGCTACTTTCCCGATTCCGCGAACCTCGCATACGGCATCATCACCAAGTTCGATTGTCTCGTTGGTTATCGATCGAAAGTCAGTGAGCCACTCGCGTCTGAAAGTGATATGCCAGGAAGCGCCACTATCACCGTACCACGTGACACTTTGATCGTTCTTACCATAACCGCGAGAACCTTCAACAGATGGCTCTGCAGACTTCGGTCCTTCTTCCGTCACAAACGCACAATTTGCAGATGGCGACTTTGACGCTGGTTTGGCCGTTTTTTCTCCATCGCTTGGGGTTTTCTTCTCAGAACAACTCTTCGCAAAATGCCCCTTGACTCCACACACGTAGCAAATTACGTCCTTCTTGTCCTTTTTCTTCTTCTTGAACTTGCTCTTGGAGTCGCTCTTCTTCTGACTAATACTGACCGATGCCAAAGCACTAGCGACGTCGTCCTCGCTTGTAATTCGACTCTCTTCCTTAATCAGACGTTCCAAGAGCTTGTCAACGTTTTGATCCGTCTCCGGTACGCTGTCCCATGCCGTTTTGAGTGCGTTGAATTTCGATGGAAGACTCCCGAGGATTTTCGCCATTACCTCTACGTCGGTCACATTCTGCCCAACATCCATGAGTTGAATTGCCAAATTTTGCACCTTGCTCACGTGCTCAACGACCGAATCTCCGATAGCCATTCGATACTCGTGAAACCGCTGCAGCAAAATCAGCTTGTTAAGGTACCATTTCATGCGCAGCATACTGCCGCAGCAACTCGCTGCTATTGGTTGAAGAATTGTTACTAGATGCTGCAAAATAAATTTCACCATATTTTGCTTCATCGCTGTGAAGTTCAATTGAACGAACAGCAAAGCAGCAGACACGCGATCTAGCCGGCCAGTGCTGCTGCAGCTATTCCTTTTCCATGAGCAGCAAATATGCTTTAGTGAATTTGGATCACGTGACTAATTTGCTGCTGCTGCATGCTGCGTATGAAAAGGCACCTTTAGATGCTGATTTTTGTTCGTGAATTGTGGACAATTTTGTCCACATCTCCTTGGCGGTAGTGCATGTGAGGAGAGGCCTCAACTGTGCCGGTTCCAACGTGGTTGAGATGAAATGCATCGTCCTTGCATTACTTTTCACCCACGCCTTGTAGTCATTCGAAGCAGCGTCATTCGGCTTTACACTTGTGCCATCAACTATTTCGAGCAATCCATTCGCCACGAGTAGTTGATTAATCTGGAATTTCCACGTGACAAAATCCTTGCCGTCGAACTTCGAAATATACCTCATCGATATTTCTTCCGACATATCCGCGATTTTCTCACAAAATGTTCCACAAAAAAACTATCGCGACGACCGCGTGCTCACAAAGATGGCCACGTTTCTTTGTTTCACTCACCAAGCTCTCCAACAGCGAAAATGGAGACTCGCGTCGCGACTCGTCTCGCTACCGCCTTTTTCTCTATTCACTTTTATTTACTCTCCTCGCGTTATCTGGGCCCATAACCTATTGGCGCAAGAGCTTGGATAGTAGAGTAAATAATAATGAGGCTTGGGTGAAAATGCAATGGTTTAATCTAACCAAGTGAATAGTGGCTCTGCTGAGCTACTAACAAGAACTAATCGATATCGATAAAGGAGACGGAAGTCAGTGGCGTGCTTCCCCCACTCACACTCGAACATCACGCTTCACTCAACTGCCAATCAGACCAATCCCGATACAGAAAACATGAGAAGCCAATCAAAAGCTTAGTTTAACATCTTCTTCAATATTTAAACTTACTATAAAACTGTATTTTTTATTTCAGATTAACTTACAAATCATTGCAGTCTCTGCTGATAATTACACGGCGAGCTTGAGTAAAATGAACGTGAACGCTGACGTCGTAACGCAAGATGTGAACGAGACACCTCTCATTCACGAAGCATACCTTGTTATAGCAGCGGACGTTTTGTCCAATCAATCTTATACCGTTCTCAAAAATTTGGCTGCTGCCTTAAAACCTGGTTGTTTCATTCTTCTGGAGGAGACCGCTGCGCGACTGGATTTGGAAACCGCATTGAAAGATACTGACTTAACATTAGCTAGCAGACAAATCGATCCTGTAGGAAAGACTTACTTGTTGTTGAAGAAACGGCAGAAAGGGAGAAAATCGACAGTAATTCATATCACAGAGAAAAATCTATCGTGGCTGGAAGGTGTGAAAGCAGCATTGAAGGAATCTGTCAGCAAAGATCAAGAAGTGCTCCTTGTATCACAGGGCGAAGAAACGCTTGGTAAAATTACAGAAAAAATTAACTTTTAAACTGTCCCCTTAACTGCCCTGTTTTGAAGCCGGAAGAAATGTTTTATCATTGTTTCTTCGTAGGCTTGGTCGGGTTCATGGCTTGTATACAACGCGAGATAGGCGACACATATGCGCGTTATGTCTTTATCCAGGACAAGAACGCTCCCAAGTTCGGCTTATCCGCGCAGTTTTACTCGGAGCAATTGAATAAAGGACTGATGGCAAACGTCCTGAAAGGAGGGCAATGGGGCAGTTACCGATACTTGCCGTTGGATGAACAAAGCAACGTGTCTTCCCTTCAGGTGGAGCACGCCTATGTGAATACATTGACAAGGGGAGATCTCAGCAGCTTGAGGTGGATTGAAAGCCCGCTACGTTACTACCATCCCAACAATTTTCCAAAAACGAAACTTTGCAGCGTATACTACGCTCCGTTGAACTTCAGGTAAGTTTCAATTAGTGTCACTCATATTTAGATAATGAAGGCGTGAATAAATTATACGAACGACAGGGATATCATGTTGGCGAGTGGCAAATTGCCACCGGACGCTCTGCCAAGGAATTTGGCCACGGAAGAGTGTATACTGGGACTTGAGTTTTCCGGAAGAGACACGGACGGCTGTCGCGTAATGGGCATTGTCGAAGCTAAGGGATTGGCTACCACAGTAGTCGCGGATCTTGATTTCCTCTGGGAGGTACCGGACAAATGGACACTGGAACAAGCAGCAACGATACCTGTCGCTTACGCAACTAGTTACTATGCTCTGTTTATACGGGGTCGATTGAAAGCCGGCGAGAGCGTGTTAATTCACGCTGGTACAGGCGGCGTCGGTCAAGCAGCGATCGCCATTGCGCTGCACGCTGGTTGTACCGTCTTCACCACCGTTGGCACGCTGGAAAAGAGAAAGTATCTCAAGGAACTCTTCCCGCAGTTGAACGACAGGCACATCGGTAACTCCCGGGATACGAGCTTCGAACAACTGATACGTGACGAGACTGAAGGGCGTGGGGTCGACGTTCTCCTGGATATTCGTGAAACTAATTGCTCCGCGAGCGCGAGTCCTCGCTATATGCGGTTATTAGAATATACACCCTTCGCGCATATGGAAAAAAAATTCAAATAGCTATAATGCGTGAGAAGGCAAAGGAGTACGGCACGTTATAATCTCCGCTCGTGAAAAAAATTTCTCCCGCGTTTATGAAAATGTATTCCTAATAAGGACCGCAACGCACACGCATTCATCCAAACCTTATTAAACCAAATGGACGAACGTTAGTTTGAGTCACGGCCGCATCAAGGACGAAACAAAGCGGACGATCGAGCGCACTTCACAGGGAATTAAGATATGTAACTCTCCGTTAGGGGTTTCCCATAGGATGATCATTTATGATTGAGATCTAACATCAAAAAAATGAAGAACACCAGTCAAGACATAGGAGGAACAGGGGGATTGGGAAAAAATGATGATAGAAATAATATAAAGGTTAGAAATATTCTTAGCAAGCAATAATTACCAAATTAGGAAGATCCTTTATCAATCACTTTAGTTATTAATATCCAATCAAGAAAATCTTTTGTACGATCACCGTACTCATCAGATGGTATCCGTGAGGATCGTTAGTAATTATTACGTAAATATCTTATAACTCATTCGAAAATTGGTGCAATCATCGGGTAACCACCGTCTTTGTGAAATCGTATTTATTGATTATAAAAATGACATACAATATGTGAAACCAGCAACTTTTAAATACACATTTATAGAATTGAAATTGAGATAATAATGATGTTTTACTTGCTAGTTTCACATATATGATGTACCGATAAGGAATTAATTTACAAATGTGTGTTTA